CCTGACTGGGCGGAAAGGGGGGCTGAGCCCTGCTCGTCACAGACCGACGTCCCCGTGAACTCAGAACGTTTGCATCCGAACGAACCAAAATTTCTATTGAACCATTTCGTGGGGGAGGCTGGGTGCGGGTCCTGCCCGAACCGCCCCCAGGGCTGCAGCAGGATGGTGCGGGCGCGGTGCGGTGCCCACTGCCGGATGCCCGCCTTCGAGGCTGCCGTGCCTGCTGTCTTAGCACACGCGGAACTTTCTGGTGAAAGTCTGTTAATAAAAACACTTTAATAAATGCAGTATTAAATTCTAAATTCCGAACCGGCGCCTCGATTGTTCCTTTGAAGGGGAAATGAAACCCAGAAGGTTAGAAAAGGAGCCCAGATGTGCAGGAAGGAGAAGGTTTCACTTTGTTAAAAATCACGGGAGACTTTGGTATCCGTGTGAACGGTCGGACACATAGCTAAGAAGTGGTGGATCTGTTTTATATTTTCAAAAAGTCCAGTTGTCTTACATCTAAATCCAGTTCGAAAAATAATGGTCTCTCCTGGCAGTGAGTCAGAGAGCGGAGTGTGAGTTACCTAGAAGTTTCCCTTCTCTTGGAAACCCTGTTTGCCTGATAGCTGCTTCTGGTGCCGTGGTTGTCAGTAGTTAGGACATTTGATTGCACACCACGAATGTGGGTTTTGGTAGAGCTCCTTTTGCTGGAATTCAGGAAGTGGATCCCTCGGCATCCTGCCCCCAGGTTGGTCCTCTGAAGAAAACAGGTAGAAATATTTCTAAATACCATGTCCCCCAACCCTCCAAAGTTATATTTGTTATTTTCTAGGAATAGTTTTCTAAATTAGATCTGCCTCTTATTCGGGGCTTTCAAAAAAGAGTTTTGAGGGATCTCATGGTGCCCGGACTCCGAGCCACCTCCACCAAACCACACTTCTAGGTGGCTTTCCAGCGTTTGCTTGAATACTTCAGGGACTTTAATTCCTTATCACTGGGCAGCACAATATCATTATTTCTAACTCTGTATTGTCCTAGAGAATTGCAAAGCAGATAATAGATTAAATGATAAGAGAAAAGGGCCCTTTCACTGTGAAATATTTGTAACTTGGAGGGTATTTGTTTAGTGAAGGAGTTATAGGCTGTTCCGAGGACGTGCCCTTGAGGTTGGGGTCCCCGTGACCACAGTCGGTTCCTGACTTCCCTGCAAGGTCACCTTCTAAGCCCCGGCTGACTGGGAAGTGGGGTGGGCCCAGGGCGCGAAGCTCATCACAGAGAAGAGCTGCATTGTTTGAAAGAAGCTTCAAGGCTTCCCCTTGCAGATAATCGCTGTGAAATGCACATCCCCCTACGACAGTGGTTCTCAACCTTCTGGCCCTTTAAAGACAGTTCCTCATGTTGTGACCCAACCATAAAATTATTTTTGTTGCTACTTCATAACTGTAATGTTGCTACTGTTATGAATCGTCATGTGAATATCTGATATGCAGGATGGTCTTAGGCGACCCCTGTGAAAGTTGTTTTTGTGATGGCAAAGGCATCCGCATTCTGCATGTGCAGCCTGACAGTTCTTAGACTGATGTGGGAAAAGGATGGGCTGGGCTTGGGGGGTTCACGCTTCTATGTCGGCCACAACAACCCATCTAGTTTTCTGCGTCCCATCTAGGGTGGATGCCCTACTTATGGCTCTGGTCACTGGGCTTTGTCCCTAGTTGATTGCCACTGATAGTATTCCTTGAATTGAGGTGGTGGTTTCCTCAAGGCTGGATGCTCCACTTACTGGTCTCACCTGCCAAACCCTCCCTAGAAGGTAGGGCTGCGTCAGTTTCTGCCGCTGTGGTCAGAGACCATGCTTGGTTTGGGCTGACAGGTGGTCAGTGCTTATCCTTGCAAACAGCCAATCTCATTGCCACCTAAAGTGACCTACCAGGATGAGTTTATATTTTGCTTTTTATATATTTTACCCACCAATGAGGTCTTAATATTTACCCTCAGATATAGTAATTTACACATATTAGTCTTCATACACACACATATTATTTCCATGTTATTTCTGAATCAGAGGTTGAGTTTTCTGGGAATGGCAAGAGGGGGTAAAAGAGGAGGGAAGGCCCCAAGTAGGCGTTTCCCTTTGAGCCTTTCTCCACAGTCTTCTGAGTTCTGTATTCGCTAGATACTTGAAGATATGGAAAAAGTTGTGTGTGTGTGTGTGTGTGTGTGTGTGTGTGTGTGTGTGTGTGTGGATTTTGTGTGTGTCTCTTCTCATGAGCTTAGGAAACTAGTGTGCACACCCAAGAACAACTCGCCAAGTGACCAGATCAACACCGTTTCCATGGACTTCCCTGAGCATGAGCATGAGCGGTTGCAGCATGAGCGTGACCACACGCCGGCCAGCTAGGTCACAGCTTGCTAACTCTGCAGGCCTTTCTGAGAGTGGGGTGTAAGAGCGCTGTTCTAATTGCAGGGAGGGGAGGGGAGGAAAGCAATGATGTTCTGCCTTCAGCAGTCCGTTCAAAAAAGGGGCCCTCCTAGAATGGACATTCTTCAAGAGTGTCTTTAGGCCACCTTGAGGCCCGTAGAATTTTAATCTTGAATGAGAAGATAAGTCACCCCGGCCGGCATGGCTCAGTGGTTGAGCGTCGACCTATAAACCAGGAGGTCCCAGCTCGATTCCTGGTCAGGGGACATGCCCGGGTTGCAGGCTCGATCTCCAGTGTGGGGCGTGCAGGAGGCAGCCTATCAATGATTCCCTCTCATCATTGATGTTTCTCTCTCTCTCCCTCTCCCTTCCTCTCTGAAGTCAACAAAAACATATTTTTTTTAAAAAGAAGATAAGTCAACGGCCAGGTTGTTAAGAGCATCTCTGTAGAGCATACATCTTCCTCTGAGGGGATTTAAGCCAACATTTGAAACACCAGTCAGCACCTCCCCCGTCCTCCCCGGGCCCTAAAATGCGATCCATTTCTTGACTTGCTGCTTATTATTCATGACTCTGTGATATCCCCGACCCTAACTATCACAGCGAGTCGAAGTTAACTTCACATACTCAAACCAACCAGAATAGCCAAACTTTGACATTTATAATCGTATTTTTTCACATAACTTTCTGTCCTGTAACTACATCTTCCTAGAAAATGAAGGGCAGGTTATTTTCAGTACGAGGTTTGTTGTTGTTGTCGTTTTAACGAGTAAGATTCTTATAAATGAGCTGGTTTTAACTTGAGACAAAGTGACAATCAGGAAAATTTGCTCAACCTCTATCCACTAATTGGACCTTTTTGGTCAGCGAAAAATGAAGGGCAGGTTATGTTCAGTAAGAGGTTTGTTGTTGTTGTTTTAACTAGTAAGATTCTTAAAAATGAGCTGGTTTTAACTTGAGACAAAGTGACAATCGGGAAATTTTGATCAACCTCTATCCACTAATTGGACCTTTTTGGTCAGCGATCTGGACTTTCGATTTCCACTATTTAAAGGAGAAAGGATTTGCTAAGTAAATCAATAACCCAAACGAGATTACAAAGAGGCTATTTGCCTGCCTAAGAGATCAAACCTCCAGAGTTTACAACACGACGTTAGTGCAGTATTTTTGGCAGCATCATATGACCCTTAACAAATCTCACTGATAAAGAATGGTCCTGTAGGACTGACTCTCTCGAAGCAAATCTCTACCAGATGTTTAGGGACTAGCTGAGAATAATAAATAGCATCTATTTCTAAACAGACTTAGCTGTGATCTTTGTTGGATGCTCTTCACTCCCATGAAGGCCATTGTTCGGCCGCGGAAGCTCCCTGGTCTGCAGGGACACTTCCGGTCCTCAGCACTCCAGCCTCTAGCTGCAGGCTTACCCTCCCTCCAGCAAAATTTCTTTCCATGCAGAGATCTGAGAGGTGGCTTTGGGAAACCAGCAAATCTCTGGCGACATCCTCACTCAGGTTGAAGTTCACCAGTGTCTGTCCTTTTCTACAGTCTGATCTCTTCACCTTCCGATTTCTGAATAGTGTGTGTGTGATTAGTGGGATAGGTCAGGTGGGAAGAGGTGGATGCTAAACAATCTTGGGTCGTTGAGTAAGATCCCAACTTGAATTTTCACCCTATTCTGAAAAGGACCTGAAAAGAACCCTGAGCCCTAGCCGGTTTGGCTCAGTGGATAGAGTGCCGGCCTGTGGACTGAAGGGTCCCGGGTTCGATTCCAGTCAAGGGCACATGCCCGGGTTGTGGGCTTGATCCCCAGTAGGGGGCGTGTAGGAGGCAGGTGTTGGATGTTTCTCTCATTGATATTTCTCTCCCTCTCTCTCTTCCTTCTTCTCTCTCTAAAAATAAATAAAATAAAATGCTGCCTGGAAGAAAAAATACTTTCACAACACCTGTAACAAAGGATCAATATCTCTCTCATCCAGGACTGAAAGAAAAGGAAACCCAGTGGGAAAACGGGCAGATGATGGAAACAGGCACTTCACCGGCGGAAGCTTCCAAATGGGCCATCTGTTTGCTAGATGACTGACTTAAGCCATCGGATTGGCCAGAATCTTAAAGATGGATGACGCCCAACGTCGGAGAGAACGTGGGGGAAAGAGGCGGTTTGGATGAGTGAAAATCAACACAATATTTTGGAACGACAGCTCCTGACAACCATTGTGAATGTGTATAGTGTGTGACACAGGAGTCCTATTTTTAAGGCTCTTTCCTCTAGCGACAACAGCACACGTGTGCCAAATATATGTGTGTGGGGGGGTGTTCGTGATGAGAATTTAAAACAAATGTAATGTCCACCAATAGACCCCCATTAAATAAAACTACGGAATGCTTCGCATCGCCCATAAAAAGCGATGCAGGCGTTTCTTAGCTGAGTGGGAAGATACCCAGGCGCAGAAGGAAGTGGGGGGAAGTGTTGCCAAGAAAATATTTAGAACGAGTCGCACAAAACTTTTAGCAGAGGCTCCCTCTGCGGACCAGGGCTGAATTTCCCTTGATTTGCCTGCCGTACAGGTGTAGATCCTAATGACTAATGAAGGAGTAATTTCCCATTACTTATGTGCTTTTTATTCGATGTGATTTTAACTTTAATTGCTTTAAACATTAAAATAAGAAAATCATTAAGTGACACAGCTCAGCCTCCATGCTGGAACCAAAGTGCGGCCTGTAATTGAGGTGTGTGCTGTAATTGAGGTGTGTGCTGTCATCAAGACGCATGGGAAACAAGCAGGAAAGGTGGGAGGCACCCCGAGTGTTTACTGTCATCTATGTAATTAGCCCCTTTTCATTTATGAGCCAGGGGATCCCTTAACAACCTTAGGGAAGAAGTCAGCAATATCATCCCTAGTTTATGGATGTGCACACTGAGAAGGAGAAGAATCAGGAAACACTCATCCGGCCACATGGCTACAGGCGCTGGGGAATCACATCATTGAGACCGGGGTTCAGCTGGAGTTCACAGCCTGTTGGGCTGGTCCTGGGCTCTTCGTCCCCCTTAGTGATGGGGAGCCGGGGCGGGGGGGGATTTGGAGGTCTGACTCGCCCAGGAGAGTCCAGGGGAGTCGGATCTTAAGGGAAAAAAACCTGAGTTAATAGGTTCACACCTGTTGGCCCGCCTGCCGGAGGCTGGGGCTGCGCGTGGGTGGGGCTGGGCCCACGCTCCCAGGTGAGGCCAGTGTGTGGCTTAATGATGCTCAGGACCCGTTATATTTGGAGGTCCCCCTTAGTGATGGGGAGCCGGGGCGGGGGGGGATTTGGAGGTCTGACTCGCCCAGGAGAGTCCAGGGGAGTCGGATCTTAAGGGAAAAAAAACCTGAGTTAATAGGTTCACACCTGCTGGCCCGCCTGCCGGGAGGCTGGGGCTGCGTGTGGGTGGGGCTGGGCCCACGCTCCCAGGTGAGGTCAGTTTGTGGCTTAATGATGCTCAGGACCCGTTATATTTGGAGGCGGCGTTGTTTGTCCTGCGAGCATAGGTTTGGAGACGCCGAGGACGGAATGCCGAGTGGGAGCGTTGGACCGTCCAGTGGGAACCCGAGTGAGCAGGCGAGGCTCCGAGGGACAAGGTCGGAGGAAGAGGGTGAGGTAGGTCGTGGAGGCCCACGGGGGCGTGTGGCCTGGCTCGGTGACATGAGTTTTGGTGGGGGCCGGCGTCTGCTGGTGCAGGAGGCTGGCTGTTGGTGGCAACCTCTGCAGTGCCCCGCTGGGGTCGGTGGGGTTGGCCTCTGCTGCATCCAGTAGG